AAAAAGGGAAAAAAAAAAAAAAAAACTGCAAGAGGCTCATATTTTGAGTTCTTTACAAATAATAATAATAATAATAATAAAATAAATAAATAAATAAATTTTTAAATCGCCATTACGTAAAGCGTTTCAAAAAAAAAAAAAAAAAAAAAACTTGGGTAATGTATGACTACGCGCACACCCGCACATTTTCATGATTCGTTTTAATTTTTTTTTTAAATTGAAAATGCAAACTTTCAACTCGTAGATTGTAAAAAAAAAAAAAAAAAAAAAAAAAAACTTTTACCCCATTCCAATCAATCAATCAATCATTCATTCATTCATCAATTAATTAATAATCGATAGTTTAAAAAATCATTTAATTTTTTACATATCATCATTTTTTCTTCTTTATCTTTTTCTTCAAATTTCCTGTTAAATTATAACGCAAAATGATTTTTCTTTTTTTTTAAAAAGAAAAAGTTATTTAACCTTCTATAAAATGATCGCTTATTTAACATCTAAAGAAATTTTTCTTTCTTTCTTTCTTATTTACAATGTATACACAAAAATCCTCGACGTGTAGCATGCACGCACGCACACGCACACACGCACGCACACAATTTTGCATCTTTTCTCTTAAATTTACATTTTTTTTTTTTTTTAAATATATATATTTATATATATTACAATATATTGACATCGGATGCAATAATAACAAGGGGGGGGGGGGGAAATTTTCCACCCTTCATTTTCACACTTGCTGTGATGTTGTTCTCTCAATTCTTTTTTCTTTTTTTTTTTTTTTTTTTTTAATATTACACAACTTCATCTATCGTACATTTTCTCGTATTTTACACACATCGTAATTAAAACTCATTATTATTATTATTATTTTTTCTTAAGTATCCGATGATGATAAATTTTATTATAAAATTTATTTATATACATTTATTTACATTCATTCACTCGTCACAATTTGTTTCTCTCAATACCCAAACCTCCTTTTTTTTATAAAAAAAATTAATGTTCGCAACGCTTTACCAAACATGTTTTTGTTTGTTGTAAAAATTTTCACAAATGAACAAAAAAATTAATTTTTACTAATAATTTCCTATCATTGAGCTCATTACCTAAATTTAAAAAAAAAAAAAAAAAACTAAATTTTTATGATAATAATAATAATAATAATAATAATAAGTAAATATTAAAGAAAATTTTTTCAATTTTTTTATTATCCTTTATTATTATTATTATTATTATTATCAAATGTAATCTTATAAAATTTTTTTTTTTTTTTTTT